GGGTCAGACATGGATTGAAGGGCGGGGCCAAAGGCAGTCGCGAGCGGCTGCTGTGCATGTGCTGCACCAGAAGCGTGGGCTGGCGACAGCGCCATCGGTCCTCCACGACACACAAACACGATAACAGGCAAAACCTGGACACAGGATCCAGCGGCCCTCCTCATGATGCCATCACCGGCGATCTGACGCCGCCCCGAAAACAAGCCTGTGCCCATCAGACAACCCCGTCCCACGAGGCCGCCCGCCACCCACAGTCAAAGTGGCGGTACCCAAGCTCGAGCGCCGCCTTGATGGAATCGGGTGACGTGATCTTGTACGTCCCGAGCCCCAGCAGCGGCATGCGGGCGCCGTTTGACAGGTGGATCGTCGCGGGCTCACGCACCGGCCGGGCGGCCGACGCGGCGGCGGGCCCGTCGCTGGCGGCGGCGGCAAGCGGTCCGGCGCCGCGGGGCGCGGGGCCGAGCCAGGTGCCCGTCCCAGACTGAGGGGTCCAGGGGGACGAGGGTTGCAACAGGGGGCGTCATGGCAGTATAATGACAACACGCATGCGGCGCCCAGCCCTCACAACAGCTTGGAGAACCACCGCTGCGGGGCAGAGACACGGATGCTGCAGCAAGACCGCGACCGGCCATGCTGCCCACACGCCCCGCTGCTTTGCGCCCCTTTGCTATCGCCCCAGCCTCCCCGCACGCCGCCACCCACCCGCTGCATCGTGTCGCTGCCGTCGCCGCCGCTGGCGGGGGCTGCGCGCCCGTAGCCGCTGCTGCTGTGGCCCGTTGAGGCCGCCGCGGCGCGGGCAGAGCCGTAGCTTTCGGTCTTGAGGAACTTCGGGTGGTGCATGAGGTAAGGGAAGGCCTGGCCCTTCCACGTCACCTCTTCACATCCGTCGTGCGACATGGGTGCTCCGCGCGCGCCGCGCCTGGGGTGCAGGCATGCGTGAGCACAAAGCAGCAGCGGGATGGGGTGGGTGGCGAGGGGCGAAGGGCTAGTGCACAAGACCAGGGGAGAGGGACGGCGCCTCTGGGCAGTACACGCTGCTGTGGATGATTTGTATTGATTGTTCTATGTAATGCTTCAGCTGCCGCAGCCGCGCGGCTGCGTTCGCGCGGTGACAAAGGCGTGGCGACCACTCGCACGCAGCGGAGCGGCGGCCCAGCACTGCAGCCGCACCGATCGGAGCAAGACAAGTCCCGCAGCCGAGCAGCCTATTCAACCTATGTCACAAGCTGGACCGTTGATTCTTTTGTCATTCACCTGCTAAAACGACGAGGTGCAAAGGCCGTGCCGCTGCCAGCAATCGCTCCTCCGGTAATGGACACCGCGCTGCACTTGATCATCAAGAACTATATCGATACAGCTCTCGTGCACCTACAAGGGAGCGCTGGTTGGTCAATGGGGAACCGGGGTGACGAAAGTGCGGACATCTTTCGCAAAAGGGCCTGGCTTGCCGTGTATGCCAATGTTACTGCATTGAATCACCTTGAATGCCGGCCCGCCTGATGTTGGGCGCCTAAAGCTGGGATGCAGACAACAGTTGCCAACTGTGACAGTGAGGCAGCGCGCTGTCAGAAGGAAAAAACCACTCAAGGAGTAGCAGATATGCTATTGTTGGATATGTGTTGCGCTTCATGCATGACCTGGTGTTTGTGCTCGTGGGTGTGGAAGCGTTTTGGAACGCAAGTCCAACTGATGAGGTTGCTGATGAGTCGACCGGTGATTCAGCTGGCGTGATGCATGTCCATATCCATGGTATGTTGTTGCGCTGGCTACCCAGTGCAGGAAACATGATACCGCGCCTACAGCACGCAGCAGCAAGGCAGGATGAATACTCCCGCACATGGAGGGACTCCGACAGCCTCCTCGACCACCTGCAAATTTACTCTCTGCTCACCAGCGGCACTGATGTCATGCCCGTGCTCTGAAAACATTCCCGTGGAGCGGAGGAGACAGACCGACCACAGGACGCGCAGGTGGCACTGCTCTTGAGCTGGTCCGCACACCCTCTTGCCTGCATGCACCAGGCTGTACGCACCTGGTCGGCACGAACAATTTGTACGTGTTGGAGCTCGGTGTGGCTATGTTGCGGGATACAATGATCAAAGATTGGGAGCGCAGAAGTGTACCTCAACTGCCTTAGAGTCGTAGTCCGCCATCACCGTCTCACCACTCGGGGTGCGCAGTGGCGCACGTGCGGCAAGTGGCAGAGTGCACAAAGCTAGTGAAGTATCCCTGCCCATACCCGTGACATGCCTGTGATGCGATGCTGATCTCGTTCATGCACCACTCAATTGTTGAGCTCCAGGCTGCAGAGTCTACACGGGTGACACGCAGCCTGCAGCTTGACTGCAGGGCCGGTGTGAGCCGACGTGGGCAGTGTTGGCGGGCTAGCGCAGGTAAGGTGTGTGCTACAACCTCCTGCTTTCCAAAAATGACTTTGATTGTACTTGTATGGCCCTTCACCGCATATGCCCGGGCTCAATGTACAGCAGCAGAGCACACTACTCCGAGCGCCATTACTCACCAACCATACGCCGCAAGCCAGGAAGTATAGCCTCGAGTTTTCCTGTGATGACTCAAGCTTCTTTATAGGAACGCTGCGGATTTCATGTTTTATACGTCACGTGTGCTTCGTCCTGCGCGTCTTCCAACATTGCTGCGGAATCAGTGGCAAGCGCTCCGCCCACAGACGAGCATTCTTGATTCAAACGCGATGCTACAGGCTGCAGAATAATACAAACCTTCTCTGCAGCAAGCACCTTGAAGCATGTGCACGCGCATGTCCCAGGCGTGGCCCCTGGCCCTCTGTCGGGGGGTCCCAGCACAGAGTTGGAGACCTCATACGGCCCTTGCCCCAGCCCCTTTGCAGCCTCTATCCTGTCTGCTCCCTGTTAATCCACCCTTCATTATATTCTCTTCTTAATCATTGGCCTCCTTGCTATTCCGAAGGAGCCCCGTGCTTTTAGCCAGGAGGCGTCAACAGTGCTGATCACAGCCTTGCACATGGCGTGCCCCTTCCTGCAAGCGATGGGCGCGCCCACCCCCACCACTGGAAGCCCCGCCGAGTGGCACACCAGCAGCGGGCACGCTGGCACTGCTGACTCTAAACACTTTGTGAGCAGCAGCAGCCGAAGCAGCAGCAGCCTGGAGAGCAGCGGCAGCGCAGTCAACCTGGCCGCCTCGGGCGCTGACCCCGACGACAGCAGCGCCAGCAGCAGCAGCAGCAGCAGTAGCAGCAGCAGTCACAGCCGCGCTGATGCGTGCGTCGCAGCCGGCTCCCCCTTTCCGGCCCCCACGGCGGGCGTTCACCAAGCTTGGCTGCCCAGGCGGCCAGAGGCGGATGCCAGCAAGCTGCGGCTGACGCGGCGGCAACTGCGGCAGCTGGGCAGGGGATGGACGCTGGAGGAGGTCAGGCAGCACACGGCGCCCACCGACGCCTGGATTGCCGTCAATGGCAGGGTGAGTCTGGGTTTAAGGTCTCGTGCATCTTTCGCAATTTGTAGCGGGTGAAGGGGTCCGCCAGGGCGGGGCGACAGGATCCAGCAGCTCGCCCAGGGCAGAGGGCACGGCCGCTTCATGCTCACTGTAGATGTGGCCCTGGGTCCCAAACAGTCAGGCGCCCGGGCACAGCGGCGGGCCCGTATGCCCCCACCCAGCGCACGTCGACCCCGCCTCGCCCTCGCAAAGCCGCGGCGATTGTTGCCACCTCGCGCCGAATGAACAAGTGTTGCCACCTTGCGTACAGTGAACAACCTGCCTGCCACCTCGTCCGGCTGATTGCGACAGGTGTATGACATCACCGAGCACCTGGCCAGTCACCCGGGGTGGGAGGGCGCGGGTGTGACCACTGTGCTCTCCATCATCGCGCACCTGGGAACAGACTGCAGCGAAGAGTTTGCCGAAATTCACCGCCCCTGGCCGGTTGCATGGCGGCAGCTGGCTGCGTTTGACATCGGGCCTTTGCTGGGGCAGTGAGGCACGAGCGGGCGGAGCCGGGCTGGGCCTGTGGTGCGGTCGTTGGCCGCGGGCTGCGGCAAACAGAGCGGACACCTGGTATGCGCGGCGTAGCATGGGCGATTTGTCCGCCCTGCGAGCCCTGCAGCGATGGCCGGCTTTACCTTTGACGCGAGTGTTACCGGTTTGTGCTGGAAATCAAGCACACCCTTTGCGGCGCACACGCAAGGCGCTGTGAATGCGCCAACTGTGCTCCTGCTTCTTTTTGGCCCTGACATCAAACTTCCTTGTTGGGGGTGCAGCAGCTGGGCAGCTGGCGCAGCACCGCTGCGCAGCTGCATCCACCCCGCCTGCACCACCGCATGCACCGGGCAGATTTGTGCGGTTGTTGTATGTAATGTTGGATGCTCTTACTCTGTTCGAGTGTTCATGGTTATCTCTGCCAAGTCGTCGGGGATGCTGTGGATATCGAAAGGAATGTGAGTGAGAGCACGATGTCTCGGCACTTGGCGCAAATTGTTCAGGGAAATCACGGTGCTTATGTAGATTGTGCAACTGCAGCTTTCAAAAACCTCAAAGAGGTGCACGTGCTGAGCAACAGAAGGGGCCATGCATGGTTTGAGGGTGCAGGGGTTAGGGCGGGCAACAGGAGAGGTGAACCGCCACGGCAGCACGCGCAGTGCCCGCAACTTGCAAGCTTGAAGCTGCAAAGGCGCAATAATCACTCCAGAGCGGTTGTGGTACCTCAGCTTGCAGCGGCGCTTCCCACCCCAAGTTGAGGTAACCACGCGCTACAGCCTTTCAAGTTGGCAGCAACACGTCAAAGTTTGCAAGGAAATAGCACACGCACGCTCAACAACTCAGTGTGTCACGCCATGATGTCGACGTCGCCCGATGTTCATCCGCCACTCATTGCCACCGCCAACAACCGACTCGCCCCGCACGGGTGAGTTGAGTACGGGTGGGCGCATGCCCAACAGACATGCGCGGAAAGGCGCGGCGCACAAAATCCTCGGACAAGGTCCCTCACACGTTTGAGAGCAGCCCCCCTATGCCCGGTGAGGGCGGCTGCAGGGGCCACGAGCACACAATCAGCAGCCACCCAGATCAAAGGTGTAGTGCAGGGGGGATGTTGAAAGTGACGATGGCACTCTCGCTTGATGCATGGCAGGTGTTTGGCAACTTTATTTGGGCACACACTGCACTACGAGATATAAAGAGTGGTGTGGGAACTCGGTTCACGCAAGGCGGTGCAGCAGGTGGCACCGCTTGCTTCTGCAAGTGGGGTTCAAGGAGGGGTCTGTCCCAGTGGAATCTCAACAGGTGGCAAGCAAAAAGTGCGGCACACGACGTGGTGGGCAGTGCACGGTTCGGTATGGCAGGACCGGGCCCGGTCCGCACCCGGCACCACCAACCGCGCCCTTATCTGGGCAATCGACGCAGCTCGGGCCTTGAAGCCCGCCTGGCGCGCCTGCACAGCTCGGCGGGTGCGATCAAGAAGGCGGTACATCATCACCTGCAGGTAACGATCTACCGCCCACGGGCGACATAGGTGCCTGTGTTCCACCAGTCTGGCACAAACACCCACCAGTACGACCGAGGCACCGTCACCGCAGCCGCGCTGGCCGTGCCCTGGCGCGTCGCGAAGCGCGCCTCGTTTCCGTCCTCCTGGCCGACGACGCGCTGCACCGCCATCGACGCGTCCATCAGCGCGAGGGACGCGCGGTTGGTGGGGTCGGTCATCTCCTTGCCGCGGCCGCGCGCGGTGATTGCGGCGATGCCCTCGCCGGACCGCGTGCCCTCGCGGGTCGCCCAGTAGCCAGAGCCGTCGACGGCCTCCTGCACATACCTGCAGGCAAGCAGGAAATGTGAGGCCACGGGGAGAAGGGCTTTGATTGGCCGGAGCGCATCAAGGGGGGCTTGCAGTTGTGACCCTGAAAGACAGGAGTGCCTCGTCCACACGCAGGGACAAGTTGCCAGCGACGCCTTGCAACCCCCGAGTAGGGGTGTGGCGGGCGCATGCACGCCAGGTGCCGTATCATGTGTGTGTTGGGAACATGATTTTCAGCTTGATGCGTGCTCACCCGGCATGATCTTGACTGCCAATGGCAGTGCGAAGCTCATTGTTGGCGCGGTTGACAGCCTGGGTGCGCGCCACGGTCCCAAACAGGTCGTACGTGCTGCCTGTGCGCGCGTTGTCCTGGATCATGTTAGACAGCACGCCGCCGCCCTGGCGCAGCCTGTGCGTATGGCACGGCGGTAGGGAAGCGGACAGGACGAGGGCGTGTGGGCGCGAGATAGAGCAGGACAGATGCGTATGGTGCCCACAGATACTTGCTTGGAGGCATGTGCGCAAAAGAAATCAAAGCCTGGGTTTGCACCCGGACCTGTGGCTGTCCGCCTACATGAGCACCGCGTTCAAGATCTTGCCACACTCAATTTGATTGCTTTCAAAAAATGCAAGTTGCTTGCTTCCAGCATTCACGTGTGAGAGTGTGGGCCGCCCATAATGGGGGGGCATCGATGCTGTTCATGGGCACCGACGATGCTGCCGACACTGCTGCGTTGCAGAGAGTTCCAGCCGAATTTGCTGCTGCTGTGCTCACCGGCTGCCTGTGGTGTCGACCAGAAGAACATCGCTGCCTGGGACAGTGTAGGTGGGGATTGGCAGGTTCTGCGGGCATCGGCATGAAGTGGAGGGGGGCATGCATGTACTCCAAAGAGTGGGTTGAGCTGGCAGCAGGCAGACGGATTGCAGCGAGGTGCGTGCACGCACGCAGCATGGCCTGCAAGCAGCTTTCATCTGTAGTTTGCAGCGACGCCGGGTGCAGATGAGGAATCCAGAATCACCAGACACGATGCATGCAGCAATAGGCTCATACATGTGCAACCACCGCTGCGCCGGCATCACACCGTGTGATAGTCCTGCTGATTTTCTTGCCGGCGGCCAGCCTGCAGCAGCAAACGCCCAGCGCTGGTGCTGGCTGATTGAGGGTGTGACCAAGGGAGAAAGAGAGGGGCACATGTGTTGGGAGCGGGACTGTTCATGTTGATATGCAAGGGTACCTGACAACAATCACTCAGACCCTCCCGCACCACCGACGCAGATGGGCAGGCACGAGGCTCATGTTCCGCTGTGTACTGTAAGTAGCAGAATACAAATAGATTTGTGTTCATGGTGAAGTGGAGCCGGCTGGCAGCTTGCTCACCCGCAAGTTGCAAGATGAGCGCGAACAGCAATGCGACCTTGAGGAGCGTCATCTCGTCGAGGCTAGTTTGGAAATAAACATCAACTGGAACGAAAAACTGTCGTGGTCCATCGCGATTGCATATGGCGGGCTCAATCGCGTGTCGATGTGGCCGCAGTGGGTGAGATTGTTCGTTCCTCGTCTGCGGGTGATGCAAACCTCCGACCGTCATAGAGCGCCGCTATGGCTCCATGAACGCCATGTCGGTGTGGATCCGTGCATTTTTGGCGAGTTCTCTTGGGATGCACAGTTCATTGCGAAACCAGCTGCGGTGACCGGCAGTACCATGCGCTTGGGGCTGAGAAGCTGCGAGTCCAACCCATACCTGCTGTCCCGCTACCGGCCTTGTCCGGGAGGCAGAACTCATTGATCAGGCCACCAGACACCGGGCTGGAGAGCACCCGCCTTGCGACAGGTGCAAACACCTGTCAGGGCAGGCCTCGCATGTGCCTGCTCCTTGCTGGTGCAGCCAGGGAACTGCAGCCTACTCACCAGGGAACTTGGTTGTCAGTCGAGGCATATGCGTCACTATTTATTGCAAATTATTGTGACCCTATTCATCTTTTATGGCGCGATTCGCGTCTGGCTACAGTATTTGGGCGAGAGAGCTTGCACCGGTCCAGGCACCTGACCACACACATGTGGGGGGGGGGGGTCCAACATGAGATTGGTGAGGTTGCTTTCATGCACAAACATTAGTTTCAGGGTATGGCACGTGTGCCATCTAGATGCATAATCTTCTGAAAAGACGGCCTGCTACGGCATGGCTACAGTCCTGGGCCTGGTTGACCACAAGACACAGCCCGTCCTGATGCCCGTGGTCACTATTCATAGGAACCCACCCACATCCCCTGACATTACTGGGGCCACTTAGTTCAGCGGTCCGCACGCCCCATCATACTGCCAGACCCTCCTCCTGCTGTGCTTGTGCCTCGTGTTCGGCATCCCCCGCACCCCACGGTCACTGGGTCTTGGCTGATGATTACCAATACAGATGAGCATGTTATTGGGACGTTACGATACAAGCTTATATGATATTATCGTTCCAGAAAAAGGTAGCTTGGCATAGTTTCAAAGGTGCCGAGATCATCGCTGCAATGCCGTCAACACCGATCAGATAGACGGCATACTGTAGGATACCTTCCCCATGACTGGATGTTCCAGTGCGACATGAAGCAACAGATTGGAAATCTGGAGGGAGGTTGTCACTGACGAACGGGATTGCAATCTGCGGGGCAATGGCGGACACGAAGCTTAGGGAAGTGTGAGTGACGTTGATCTACATTTTGTCGACGCTCGCCGCGGCACCATCGGTCGTCGGTCCGCAGCGATGTGCTGCATGTGTGCTGCTCCGCATTGCTGCCCCGTCTTCAACCTCCCGGACACGCCCGCTGCCAAATCGACCGCTTCCCGGGCAGCGTCAAGCAGTATGAGGGGAAGCTCGCGGCGCTCGGCGCCATCAACGACGCACTGCGGCAGGAGAATGAGCAGCTACGCGCTGACCTGGAGGACGCGGCGCTCCCGCGCGGGGATGCAGGTGCGGGCGCAGGCAGGACAGCATGCGCGGCCGCTTTTCGAGAAGCTCCTCCCCACGCGGCAGGCATGCACAAGCCGCATGCGGCGGCATGAACCCACGCTGCTGCTCGTCGCGGCCAACTGCGCAGCGAGCGCCCGCTCGACCCAATTTCGTGCTCGTGGACCCCCCCCCCCCACTGCCGCAGATGCCGAGGAGGCCGCGGAGCTGCGGGAGGAGTTTGCGCGGCGGCTGGGGGAGCACCAGCGCACCATCGAGGCCCTCAAGGTCAGGGCCCTCTCTGCACACCACGGCCGGGCGCCTGGCGGGCGCCACGGGCGCAGGCGCGCGCCGAGCGCCCTGGGGAGCCGCAATAGCTCTGGCTGCTCTCGGGGATGCTGCGGGCAGGCCAGGTGTTGCGAAGCAGGGCAAGGCGTGCCGCCTGCCCCGGGGTTGTTGCGTCATCGACGGCGGACTCGCCCTTCCAGGCGCACCGCACTTGCAGCCGACCTCCCCCCCCTCTCTCCGAACGCTCCACCAACAGGACAACAATGCCAGACTGCAAGAGCAGCTCAAGTCCGCCGCCGGCGCCGAGCGCGCGCGCGCCAAGGAGCTCGAGGGCGAGAAGGAGAAGCTGCTGGGCAGGTGCCAGGCGCTCGAGGCGCAGCTGAGCGACGCGCGGAGCGCCGCCGCTGCTGCTGCGGCGGAGGCGGAGGCGGAGCTGCTGGCGGCGAGGCAGGGGCTGCGGGAGTGCCAGCAGGAGGCGGCGGAGCGGTTGGCGCAGGAGCGGCAAGCGGCGGAGGCGGCCTTGGCCGAGGCGCGCAGGGCTGCAGCAGCTGACGGTGAGGCGAGCGCGGACGACGCGCGGCGGCGGGAGGCGGCGATGGCCGCGGCGCTGGCAGAGGCGCAGGCGGGCGTGCAGCAGCAGCGGGCGGCGGCGGCGGCGGCGGAGGACGCGGCGCGCAGGGCGGTGGCTCAGCTGCAGCTGCGTGTGCGGATCTTGGAGGAGCAGAACAAGGTGGGCCGCGCGATTCTTGCAGTCAATTCCAGGGCCGCGCAACATTGATGGTGGAGATAAGGGTGCGTGGTCGAGTGGCTGCAGGGTTATTGGGTCGACAGCCCTAGTCAACATCGGATCCGTGCGGCTTCGTTTTACCCCAACCCCAAACAAGCAGGAGGCAATGGCGGGCACGAGCGACGCCACGCAGCCGCTGCTGCGGCAGGTGCAGTCCCTCGCCGCCGCCCTCGCGTCGGCGCAAGCAGCCGCGGCCGACGCAGATCTGCAGGCCGCAGCGCGCCTCTCTGCCGCCGACGGCGCCGCGTCCGCCGCGCGCGCGTCCGCCGCGGCAGCGGAGGCGCGTGCGGCGGCGGCGGAGGCCGCGCTCGGCGCGGCGCGGGGCGCGGCGGCGGCGGCCGCGCAGGAGGCGGCGGAGCAGCGGTCGCGGGCAGAAGCGGCGGCGCGGCAGTGCCTGGCTGTTGAGGCGGAGAGGGACGCGGCGGAGGAGCGGCTGGCGGCGGCGCGGCGGCGCGAGGAGGGCTTGCGGCAGGTGAGATGGGCCTTTCGGGCTCCGCGGCCCGCAGGGCTGGATGCATCGCGCCCGCGCCCAGGCGCAGGAGCGGGCACCAGCTCAAGCTGGCATGACGCGTGTTTATTGGGCATGGCTGACCTCGGCTGCCACTGCAGCCTCTTGTCCATGCTTGTGAGGGCTCATCCCTGGATGCTCTGCGCATTGTGCACCCCACCGCACCCCTCAATTTGCCCCTGCGCCCCTGCCTGGTCCCATGTCCACACCCGGAAGGATCTGGATGCAGCACAGCGCGACCTGCAGGAGAAGCAGTGGGAAGCTAAGCAGCAGCTGGCCCTGCTGTCCCGCCAGCGGGACGGCCTGCAAGAGAGGGCAGAGGCGCTGCTGCAGCACCAGCAGGAGCTCCAGGCGCAGCTGCAGCAGTGGCAGCTGTCCGCGGGCCCCGGCGCGCGCCGGCCACCGCTGGGGGGCGCCGCGTCGGCGTCGGCGCAGGCGCTCCAAAACGGCACCGGCGAGGGCGGCGGGGCGCTGGCGGGCGGCCGGAGCTGTAGTGGCTCTCAGCAGCCGCAGCACCAGGGCAGCGGGCTGGACGGGCTGGCGTCGCCTCGCAGCGGCGTGTCCCTGTCAGCGCTGGTCGCGAGCAACCGGCTGTCACTGAACGCGGCGGGCCCGGGGAGCGGCAGCGGCGGCGGCAGCGGCCCCGGCAGCCCCGCGCGCGGGCGGTCGCTGTCGGGCAGCTTCTCGGGGGCGCTCGGCCCGGAGGCTTCCCTCGCAGCCGCACAGGCGCAGCTGCAGCAGGCGCAGCGGGCGGCGCAGCGGGCGGCGGCGGAGGCGGCGGCGGCGCGCGCGGAGCGGGACTCCGCGCAGGAGCAGCTGTATGAGGCGCTCAAACGCGCGGGCGAGGGGGAGGCGCGCGCAGCGGAGGCGGAAAAGCTGCAGCAGCGACTGGCAGAGACGCAGCACGAGGTGGGCGGGCGTGGCGCACTGACCACGGTGGAGCACGCATGTCGGCACGTCGGCATTGCAATGGGCGCGCCGGGCCGTCAACGTATGCTCTGTCGAGTGCCAGTATGCATGCCTAGTGCCGGGCTCCGAAATCGTGAGCCCCACTTCCGCAGCCCCAGCACCTGTAAAAAGGAACCTGTTCCCTGCAGTCTGCCACCCCCCCCCACCCCCCACCCGCAACCCCCACAACCCGACACCCCACCACCCCCGCCCGTCGCGCCACCGCCGCCGCTCGGCCGCAGCTGGGGGTGGCTGTCGAGCTGCTGGGGGAGCGCAGTCTGCGTATAGAGGAGCTGGAGGCTGACATCAGCGAGATGAAGGCTATCTTCCAGGCGCAGATGGACGAGGCCGCACACCAGCTCGACAGGCTGCAGCGCGCCGCGTCAGGGGCAGCCGCCGCCGGCGGCCCTGGCGGCAGCAGCGGCGGCGCGTGAGACTCGCAGCGTGTGGCCCCGTATGCGACTGACATTGTGGTCCAACTCAAAAATTGTTTTCGTGCGGGCCGACTTGGCGGCTGACGTTCTTTTGCAAGTCTGTTTTTTTTGGACGGTGGCTTGTGTTGCTGCGTGGTGCACCTGACAAGAATTGATATATGTGTGCTCTGTATCCCTGGTTTGGCATTATGATTCCCTTGCATTCTTTCAATTTGCTGTTCCCTCAAACACCACTTGCAATATGACAATCTTACCATCCAGCTAGCGAGGCGGCCTCGGCGCGAGCCTGGCACGTGTGTAAAACGCCGTGCGTCGCTGTTATGGCGGAGCATGACCGCGCGTCCCTCGTGGCCCCACGCGCCTGCTCATTAGCCTGCGCATCACGGCAGCCCATCCCACGGCCGCGACAGCGCTGAACGCCAGCCGCCCCAACCACAACAGCGCCCACGGCTTCCCCACCACCGCAGCTGCAGGGATCTGGGAGTCCTGCTGCGGCTGGCACCCCGCGCCCGCCTGTGCGTCATGAGGCACCCAACGCATGGTGCCGTCGTCACTGGCGGCAATGAGATAACGGGCGCTGCCATCAGCGAGGCTCGGCGAGGCCACAGCACCAGCAGCGGGCAGCCTCCGCAGAGGCAGCTGCAGAGGGTATGCCAGGACGCCAGGGCTTGCGTCGCCACCGGGCGGTCGGCCCGGGCTGCAGCTGCCGGCTGGGTCGGCGCCGCCGCCGGGGCCTTCCTCCGGTGCGAACAGCTCATAGGCAGGTACGGGCTGGGCGCCCTCTGGACACCACTCGCCGCTGCCGCCCTCGAGGCCATGCGCGCTGCCAGCAGGCAGCCATACGTCGATGACGTCAGCGGAGCTGCAGGCGCCATCATCGCCGGACTGGGGCGCAGCGGCTTCGCTGCCGGCACAGGGGACAGCGCCTCCTTGGCACTCGCAGTCCACGCCAAGGCGCAGGAGTCGCAATGAGGCAGCATCATGGCTGCTGCAGTTGGGGCCTGGTGAAGCCCCCAGAAGGTTGTGAATTGCTATCTGATTAACGCCCAGAGTAAGCTCAGTGCTTCTCACCAGACTCGGCTCGCAGCTTGGCAGTGCCTGCGCACTGGCTGCATCGTTGCCCTCATCCCCGCTGCCGCCGGCACGCCCAGCGACGCAGCTGCACAGGCGGCAGGAGCAAGGGGGCGCCCTGATTGCCTGGAGGTCCAGAAGCAGGGTGCCTTGACCTTGGCGTCCTGCAAAGGGGCCAGGGCATGCCTGCAGCGCCTGAAGGGTGTGTGCTCCTTCAGTGTGCGGTTGGGCGGCTGCTGGACGTCACAGCCGCACCTGGATCATCGGCGATGCAAACGGCAGCACCCTCCACATGCTTTGTGACCAAAACGCAGATGACCAGGGCGGAGAACGCTACTCTCGCGCGATCGAACATCGGTTTGATCTACGAGGAGACGGCCCGACGCGGTAACCAGCTGTGTCCTGTCAATTTTATGGCAGCAAAATTACTGTTGCATGTACTGTTGTCTGCCTCCTGTACCGGTCTGTTGCATCCAGAGTCGCTGCGCAAGCAAGCATGTTGGCTGCTCGTATGCTCAGCTGGAGCTCAAATCTGGCCACGCAGACGCCCAGGCAGGTGCAGCGGACCCGCATCCAACGTGGATGTTATCCCGTATGTACATGTTTACATGCCTACTCAACAAGCTATAAGTCTGGGGTGCGCAAACGTCCAAGCCTAGTTACGATGCTGAAATCAGTGTTCAACGCCCTCCGTGATGCAGGCCAGCCCCACTCCTTATTGCGCGTCGTGCGAATGCGCACAGCGTGTAGTACAGCGTGGTGCACCTGCGCAGCTTAACGGGCAACTCTCACTGCTCACACGAGGCAGGCTTTGAAGCTGCTGGTGAGGTCCGTGCGGTCGAGGTTGCGCCCGATGAAGACCAGCTTGTTCACGCGCTTCTCGCCAGGGGCCCACGGCGCGACGTCGTCGTAGGCGCTGCTGGTCATCTGCAGCAGCATGTGCACCCCCTGGAACACGTGCCTGCGACAGCGAGCCATGCCCGAGTGGCGCCACATCACAGCAGTCAAGCCAATGAGAGACAGGTTGGGTGTGGCGGTGCATCCAGGGGAATAGGGTTTCAAGTGGGGGAGGGGACGGGCTGTTTGGGCGGGGGAACCATTCGTTCCAAGGAATTTGGGGTGGCTGGCAATCCTTTGGAAGGGGTGCTTGGGGGGTCCTTTGGCAGGACGTTATGGATGAGGGGGGCCTTGGGGACTCGGGGGCTTAGGGGTTTTGGGGGAAGGGACTCTGGTAGGGCTTGGGGCGGGGTGTGCGGGGCTTTCAGGGGGGCGTACAAGCAGGGGACGTGCGAGTTCATGGAGCGCGCGCTTGAGTCTAAGCTGGGACTGTAGAAATCACGCCTGGCACCAATCAACACCGCTCCCACCTGTCGTCACTGCCAGCCATGGCCAACACCCCCTTGGAGCGGAACAGGTCGGCACCCTTCTCTGTCAGCAGGCGCCGCAGCCAGGCGTTGAGCTTGTCGGGGTCGCAGGCGCCCTCGCAGGTGATGCCCACGCTGGTGATGGAGCTGTCGTGTTCGTGCTCCTTGTCCTCCTGGCAGCAGTGCGCGATTGCAAGTGCAGGCCGGACATGAGACAGCTACAGGTGGGGGGGGGGGGGAAATGCCGCACCAGGATTGCCCGTTCAGGTCAGGACAAGGGCCCCTCTGCCGCCAGGTCAGAAGTCGGCGCTTGTGAAGCAAGGCCTTGGCCTGCAGGCAGCTTCGTAGGCCTGCTGCACGGCGCGCCCTCCCCTCGCGTCGCTGCTTCCCGGCCGGTCAGGTCCTCAATCCACATTACCACACCACCCCCACAGGCAAACAAAGTCCCGCCACTGCAAAATTATTGCTTTCATAGCCCCCACCAGGAAGTCCGGCTCCACAGCCAGCACGCGGTCCAGGCTGAACGCCCCAATGCCCAGCAGCTGGTCCAAGTCCACGCGCGCCTGGATGGCCTCCAGGATCTGGACAGGCTTGTTGATGGCCTGCGGAGACGGCAGCAGTGACCAAGGCAAGGGGTGGTGACTGTGTTGGGTCGGGGGTGCGGCTGCCAACAGCAGGCGTGGGGGGTTTAGTCTCGCAGCGGCCCCTCTGCCGCCGTGCCATCAGTGAGCTCACGCGCAGCGCACAAGTGCGCCAGTTGCTGAACAGTTGACCGCGCTGCGGGGGATAGGGGGTTGAATCGAAAAGCAGGGAGCGCGTAGCGCGCAACACGTCTGCCGCGCTCACCTTGATGCGCTTGATGACTGCCTCCTTCTGATCAGCGCTGACAAGGTCAAGCTTGTTCAGGATGATGCGGTCAGCAAACGCGATCTGCTCGACTATTTTGTTGTGGGTTGGGTGATGTGATCGTGCACATATGTGAAGCCGTGATGGGGAGTCCTTGGGGGTTCAGACACACGCTCGCCACCCCTGTGCACGTGACATGCGCACTGCGTCGCACAGCGTGCGCTGGGATGATGTTTCCCCGATTTGCATAAACCACGGGTCCCCGATGTATGGATGAGACGGTGGGTCGGCACCCGCCACTCCCGCCCCCCGCTCCCACACCCAAAGCTCGGCAGGCCGGCGCACCGGCCTCGTTCTCGACGCCCTCTGGGCGCTCGTCGTCCAGGTGCTGCGTGATGTGCGCCGCGTCGACGACCGTGATGAGGGCGTCCAGGGAGTATGACGCGCGCAGCTCGTCGTCCACAAAGAAGGTCTGCAGCACCGGCGCGGGGTCGGCCAGGCCGGTGGTCTCGATCAGCACCGCGTCGAAGCGGGTGCGGCGGCGCAGCAGCTTCTGGAGGATGCGGATGAGGTCGCCGCGGACGGTGCTGCGGCGGGGAC